CCCGCCCGCCTCGCGCGGACCCGGCGACCCGCTGGCCCGCGGTGGGTAGAGCGCAGGCTGGGTGCAGGGTGCAGGGGCTCTAGGAACCCAGCCTCGCAGTGGGTGTCTCACTAACACCTGGGCTTTCGTTCTGCCTTTTTAACTGCAGGTCTCCACCGGTTCGTGTCTGCAAATCAGTTCACTGGGCAGGACCCGCCTTTGGAAAACCTCAGTTTCTTCACCTTGCAAATGGGAATAATAATCACGAACGCCTCCCTAGGTTGTGAGGTTGCCATACAATTAATGAGGCTAATAGTTCCTGCACCGTAAAAGCTCTGTACCAATATGAGTGATAACAATCACAATAGGTGCTGGCATTGGAAGTTACTGTGCCAGCCCTGTGCTAAGCATTTGACATTGACCATCTCATTTAACCCCATCTCAAAGCAACCCAGAAGCTGTGCTATTATTCCCATCTGATAGATAGGCAACTGAGGCATAATTTTTTTTAACCTTTACCCACAGATATTTTTTCCATTGCTTTTCAGAGAGAGAAACATCAATGTAAGAGAGACACATTTGCTCACACCCTGACAGAGGTGGGGAACCTGCAACCTAGACACATGCCCTTGGGCAGAATCAAACCCAGGACCCTTCAGCCTGCAACTCTAACTGCTAAGCCAAACCGGCTAGTGCTGAAGTATAGAGAATTTGAGGTCAGTAGGAGATGGCAGAGGACTGGAACCCACTTCCTCTTATTTCAAGGCCCTTTCTTCTGTTAGCTTTATCTCATGTGGCTCTGGATAGCCTTCCAGCTAGAGCTGCAGTTTCCAATCTATCCTTTAATACTGACCCGAAAGAGACCCTTTCATTTTTATTATTTTTTAAATATGTTTTTATTTATTTCAGAGAGAGAGGAAAAAAGACATGCAAATGTTAGGTCAGATAGCTTCCCTGTCTGACTGCCAGGGGCCAGCTGCATCTGCATGGTTTGGCTACCCTGACAAGAACACTCTTTCCCTTCACCCTCCAAACATGGTCAGAACTGCAAAACAGTGTGAAGTCAGCTGTACATTAACTTCATGAACTTGGCAAGTCTGTGTTCTCATCTGTACAAATGGGTTGATAGGAGCTAATGGAAGAAAATCGCTAAGCAGAGTACTTGGCACCTGGCAGCAACTGCTCCGTAAATGTTTGGTGTAGAGGTTGTTTTTGGAAAGGGTCACCCCCTCTCCCTCTCCCTCTCTCTCTCTCACGTGGGGAAGGCCATGTTTAGAATATTGCACCCAGAGCTTAAAGGCAAATCTGAGCCCATTTAAGCTACTTTCTGAACCCCAGAGGAGAGGCAATGTCTCAAAGCAAGACACTATGTAGGGTCAGCTCAGTCCCCCTCAACCTGTCTGTCCCCTCAGTTTTAATGGGTTTCCCCATCTGCCCCTTAGTTTTAATGGGTTTCTGAGCCCACACCCAGGCCATTTGGATTTCTGCGTTTTGGCTCTCTCTGCCTCTTAACCCACCAGGAGGCTCAGAGGGAAAAAGCTCCAGTATTCCTTTCCCACTGGGGCTCCTGCCGGACTGGACTGTGCATTAAACAAGATAATGGAAATACAGAAAGAGGCGTTTCCCCCATGGGGCAGCCTTGTTCGTTTATTTTTTTTCTCCCAGTTATGTAAAAATACATATTTTATGCCATCACTTAGCCCAGGGAGCCTTTAGGGCTTTGTTTTCCTCCGCCCAGCAAGCCCTGGCCTTGTAACTTCTCAGTGACTCTCATCGACTCTTCCATTACACTCTGATAATTCAATAAAAAGGATTTTAGAAAACAATTAGGGGCAGTGTGGACAGGTCTCGAGCGATGCTGTCCTCAGACTTCTCAGCAAGTCCTTCTCCAAGCTCCAGGGAGTTGATCGCAGAAGGGCTGCCCTCTGTCAGCTGTCCAGAGTGAGGAGGGGACACACAGGGGCACCCTGTAGAGGTGGGGCAATGTGTGACTGTGGCCTTCCATGAATTCCCTCAGTTTCCTCTTCCATCAAAAAAGGATATGTCATTCTGAGGACCAAACGAGCATGTGAAGGTGAGCCCTGTGCTGCCGATGGCGTTTAGTCTCAGGCTGATGGAGGGTTCAAATTCTTCTTCTGTCACTAGCTGGGTAGCAGGTCACTTGACCTCATCCATAAAATGAGGAGTTGATAGCATTTAATTCACAAGGTTCCTGTAAGTGCCCTAAAGTTAGCTGTTAGCACCCTTGGCTTAGTACATTCCCTTCCCGGTTCTAGGCAAAATTGTGAGTTCCCATGAAGCCTCCCCACCCTCAGGCTCTCCTTTCCCCACCCCCCACCATTAAAGACTCTTAGGCTATCTAAGGCCTCTGCCTGGAGAAGTTTTCACACTGACTGGTTAGTCTGTTCAACCCACCCAGGGTCATTTACATTTTAAACAGGACCCCGGGGTGTACCTCTTTCAAAGGATAAAAACCCGGGAGCCGTTAAACTCCACCCAGGGTTCTTAACCTGGTGTCTGCGGATGGACTGGGTGAGGGGGCGCCCATGGAACCCCTAAGAGTGTGTGCACACCTGCCAGTGCAGGTGGCTGAGTTCCACTGCTTTCTTTAGCTTCTCAAATGGGGGGAAGAAAGGTCAAAATCTTGGAGCTGAGATCTCTTTGCGGGCCTGTCCAATGCTAATGATAGAATTTCAGGCACCAACAGGGAAAAGAAATGTTGACCAGAGGCCTTGCCAGTGCCCCTCCAGGTGGGTGACAGGCCCTACATCGGGTGCTAACCAGGCACCCTTCTTTAGGATGACAAATTCCAGGTTTTCTTATTGCAGGTTGTGTGTCTCTGCTGGACTTTCTATTCCTGTGTCCAGGTGACTGGTCGGCCTGAGGCTAATGATTAATCCCCTTGGCAGTCCTGTCCCTTTCATCTCCTGACAAAAGGCAGCAAAATTAGTTCTCAGACTGGGAGGGGCACCAGGCTCTGCTGAGAGGAGCCCAACCCCCCAGCTGGCTAGGGTTTGCCGCCAGATCTAGAGGAGGATCCATTCTAACTGCTCCTGGGGGCTTCAGACACCTCTGCTGGGAAGGCCACCGGCCAACACACAGGGGAAGGAACTGAATATTGCGCTTCTGCCTCCTGCTAAACTAATGGGTGCTGCCCTTTGCAGTTCAGCCACTTATATCTGCAAAAAACATTTCTATTTCAAACACAAAGTAAATAGTAAAATGTATACCATGAATAGTATGATGAAACACCATAGATCTACTATCTAGCTTCAACAATTATTTTTTGTACTTTTTATAATTCATAAACTTTGTAATTGTACCAAATCTTATTTCATCTTTTCACCCTGCAGTTTTTTCAAATTAAGACTATTTTTTGAGCCCTGGCTGGATATCTCTGTTGGTTAGATCATCGTCTGGAAACAGTAAGGTTGTGGGTTTGATTCCTAGTCAGGACACATACGAGAATCAACCAATGAATACATAAATAAGTGGAACAACAAATTGAAGTCTCTCTTTCTCCCTTCCTTTCTCTCTCTAAAATAAATAAATAAATAAACAAATAAAATTAAGACTATTTTTTGAAAAGCAGCGTTAGGTTCACTGCAAATTTGAGGGAAAGATAGACAGATTTCCCATATATCCCCTTCCTCATACATATACAGTCTCCCCCATTACCAACATCCCCTATCAGAGTAGTAAGTACATTTGTTAGACTTGATGTACCTACACTGACATATTATAATCACCCAAAGTTTGTAGTTTACATTATGATTCACTCTTGGTGTAGTACTTTCTATGAGTTTAGACAAATGTATACCATTACAGTATCATACAGAGTTGTTTCACTACCCTAAAAATTCTCTATGCTCCACCTACCTATTCACACCCCCCCCCCC